AGTTGGGGTAGCGCTGCACCAGAGCAGCTCAAGGCAGAGTCAGGCATAGCGGACCAAGTCAAGCAGCGGCATAGCTGCTTTGGGTTGTCTTGGGACATCAGTGCRGCATCATAGCTGCCTCCCRGTAGTCCGCCATGGCCTATGCATGAGAGAGGAGGATGAAGGAGGGAAGCCATGGCYATGGTGGACTTTCTTGTTGTTGTTGTGTTGCGAGTTGAGTCAGCAGTAAGGGGGAACTTCGGATATTGATTCTGGTACATCCATTCATTGTTATTATTATTGTTGAGAGAAGAATAAGATTGGCGGATTGAAGGAGGAGGAGGAAGGTGGAGAGAGAAGGGGGAAATTGTCATTGGTCTTGCTGGTGTACTTCTTCTTCTTCTTCTTCTTTCTCTCTCCTCCGGTCTTTATCTCTTTGCAAGTGCTTTCATTTCCTTCGCAATTTGGTGGCATTGTCTTTCATTGTGAATTTGCACTTTGGAAATGACCGGGATGGTAACATACAACAAACGTGCATACTATTTGGATTTGAGGGAGCAACTTTGAGAAATCGACTTTTCCTGGGAAAGTTGAATAGTACATACGTGCGTTTTGTTCGGCGGAAGACTGTCAGGTTCGAAGCGAAGTCATGCGGGTCCGAGCTAAGGTTAAAGGTTCGAGGTAAAACGTTGTGAGTTGATGGTGTAAGCCCAGAACGGTGTCAATCTACCTTGGTAGACCTATTAAACCACCAGTACTTGGCCCAGCTACCGGCCGCAGAAAGAAAAGAAAAAAAACGTACAAACGTTTCTAGTCAGATGAATTTGGGCGCTCCTGTAGTAGCCCGTACGTTTCCTAAAACCGTGGCGCGTTAACAGGCACGAATCTAGCGAGTACTGGTGGTTTAAGATACATTATCAGTAACGTAACTATTGTTCCACTAAAGCTTTTCCTATGTCGGTGAAAGCAAGTCTGGCAACGAAAAGGGTGGCCTGGCTTCAAAGCTTCCCCAAACGTTTGCTTAGTGTCCTCGAACGTTGCATCGCTGTGACATGCCTCAGGGAAACGCTGTCACGTAACACGTTCCTCCGGGTTCTTTTCTTTTCTTTTTTGATTTTTGGAGAAAAGAGCGATGGCCTTGAGATATCATCATCTAGTGACGGGCCCCAGGTAATTGAGTATCAATGCATTCCATTCATCTATCTTCATGAAGATTCGAACTTGGGTCTCTATTTCAAGAGTTCATGGTTGTAAATACTGAGCTAAGCTCGTTGGTTCTTCTTCTTTTTCCTCATGGTCCATCCATGAGGATTCAAACTTGGGTCTGTATTTCACGAGTGCGTGGTTGCACCAACTCAGCTAAGCTCGCTGGTTCTTCTTCTTTTTCCTCGTCAAACGCTAACTTCACCAAGGTATCGGTTTCCAATGTACCTTCCCAAGAGTGACATAGATATCATCCGTGTTATTATGCATGCAAAAGACTGGTCCTGATCTTCACGGGCCTACTGCAGGTAGATGTGTGCTTACGAAGACTTTATCAGCATGAACAGACCAAAATTAGCAAGCAACTAGGGGACACACTTACAAGGAATGGGAGGAGAAAGAAGAAGAAGAAGAAGAAGAAGAAGAAGAAGAAGAAGAAGCGAGGAGGACAAGAGGGCCAATAAAAGCAGAAGCGAGCTGACCTTCTCTTGACCAAGCTGCAATCACACTCAGTGACAGGAGCCCCACAGCAGCAAGCATGCCACTCCCCGCGATCGAGTGAAGGGCCTTCTCCACAAAAGAAGCAGGACATCATGCTTGAGCTCGGTCCGGCCTCAGTCACTTCGACAAATTTTTCCAAATTTACCACGCTGCACTGAGCGTCACCGGGTAAAACACCTTTCATGTGTCTCCCTCTGCCTCTGCCTTTTCCAGCCTTGGCAGACCCACGTTGCTCGCTCACACGTCCTCCTCGCCCTACACCCCTCCCCTTGGGCATGCCATCCGTCCCTGGCCTCGCTAGAAGCTGCCGAGTTGGCAGTTCTTCTCCTTGCTGTATGTCGTCTTGATCCCCGTGAGAAGTGTTTTCCGAAAGCCTCCCATGCGCGGCTGTTGCTTCTCCGAGATCTGCAACCCCTCCCTCCCCACACATCTCGTCTTTTTTACCCTTCAGCTCCATCAGTCGCCCGTGGATCCTAGCACCTTTCCTTTTTTCCTTTCCTCGAGCACGAGCGATGCTCTTGTTCTTGTTCGTATCCTCCTCTTCCTTTGCGGTCGTGGTGTCTACTTCGTTCTCCCCCTGCTTCCGTTGCCAACCCCTCTCCACCCTGTTTCCATTTGCTCCCATATCCTCCTGCTTCTCAGATGCATCTCCGCAGCCAACCTCCACCTTTGTACCATCGCCCTCCGACTTGCTACCGTCCTGTTCCAACAAAACCACGGGCTCCAATGACACCTCGGGCTCGGACATACTCCGTTCCTGGTCCAGCAAAACCACAGGCTCCAACTCACTGCGTTCCTGCTCCGATCGAGGCACGGGCGTAAGCTTACTGGCTTCCTGCCCCAGTAAACCCACAGTCTCCGACTTGCTACATTCCTTGTCCAGCGATACCACAGGGTCAGAACCGTCGTTGTCAATCACGGGAACAACAAGACGACCATGTTGTATTCCACGAATATTCTCGCTAAGGTGCAGCCCTTGCTTCTCATTCTCAGAGGGAATCCCCTCTTCCACTCCGTCGTCCTTGACTGAGTCATCCAGGTCGCGTCTGGCATTCCTGCCCTTCTTCAAAGGGCGATTTTTCCAAACACCCCCTCTACCAAGCCCTCTTCCTGCCATCCCGGCCCGCAGATCTGCTTTCCCCCCCCGAGTGTTACCCCACACCTTCCGCGTTCCCCTCTTCTTCGTTCCATCTTCCATCACTGGCTTCAAACCCGATGTGCGTCCATTCTTCAACCTTCCTTCGTCTCCACTGACCGTGTTCCTCACCACCTCTGATAAAAAGACAATCTCTTCAGCTTCCACCGGATCTTGCAGTCGAACCCCGTCAACAATCTCTCCTGTTTCCAGCGGACCTTGCAGCACTCTGACCCCATCGTCAACCTGGGCTTGCTGTCGCCTTCTCTTCATCTCTCCCTTCCTCTTCCCGACATTCTTATTTCCCCCCTTGTACTCTCCATGCTCCTCCCCCATCTTGTCACCTTTCTTCTCGACCTTCTTTCTGCCTCTCTTCTTTTTGCCCTCCCCATGCTCAGGCGCTTCCTCGACTGCACCCGCCTTCGGCTGTCTGTCAGAATCGGCTGCTCCTTCCTCGCTCTCCCCCTTCCAACGCCTGTCCTCTCCTTCGCCAACCTCCTCATTCTTCTTGGCCCCAACCACCATTACAACCGATATTCCGAGTCCGTTCCGTTGCATATCTCCAACAGTTACTCCCTCCCCCTCTGGCCCACCCGAGCACTCTGCCCGATTCCTGTCTACAACTGCCTGATCATCCATGGCAATGCACTGCACACCCGCCTGACCTGCTACCACCTCCCATTCTCTACCCGTCTGGACATCTTGCCGTCCTCCACCCCCCTCAACAACTCCTTGATCGCCTCTCCCACACTGCCCCTTCCTCCCCTCCTCTTTGCCTCTCAGGCTTCTTCGTTTCCCTTCAACTAGTACATCGCCTCGACGATCCCAGCCATGTTTCGTATGATGGTCTGCACCCTCCTCTCCATCTTTCTCCAAGAACTGTCCCCCTCCTCCCGAACGATAAGCCGCGGCATCGATTTGGCAATCATCTCCGGCAGATCTGACTTCGTGCGAGAAACAATCAGGCTCCCTTGGGCCTTGGTCCCCTGCGTGAGATTCTGTCTCTTCTGCAGTCACCTCTGTGTGCTCCACATCCCCTTGACGACCCTTTTGATTCGTGACATGCCGCTGCTCGTAGCTCTTGTTACTAGTATACTCTGCCCCTCCCCGACGTTTGTACCTTGATACAGCCCCGTGCTCCTCACTCCTTCCTCCTAGCTGGATGGCCTTGCCATCCTCGACTTCCGTAGAAGGCAACTCACCCTGCATGGCAACCCCCTTGCCCTCCATCTCTGCCTCTTCTCCTCCTGCAAATCCCTCACCGTCCCTCGCTTGGGCTCCTCCCTCTGTCCTTTTCCCCTCCTCTTTGCCTACCGTCGACTTCCCCTCCCTCGTGACCGTATCTTCCTCCTGCACGGCCTCCACTATCCCGATTGTCGGCGCCACTGGCTTTCGTTTCCTAACTCTCTTCTTCTTTGCACCTCCCGCATTTTCATCCGCTGAGGCATATGCCCGCCCATCTCCTACCATCATCTCCTCCTCCGACCCCTGGTTCCGATTAACAACAGTGGTTGCCGCCTCTCCGAGGCTCGAAAAGTCTTTCTTCTTCCTTGGCCCACCCCTACCTCTGCCGGCGCCAGATTTTCCTCTTCCCCTGCCTGCCATCATCGCCTTTGGCTTCGTCCCTTTGACGCCCTCCTCCCTTGAATCGCCTACGCCCTCCGCTGCTCCCCCCTTCTCAGGCCCACTCTCCATCCGGGGCGAAGGCTCGGTCGCACCGAGCATAACACCTGCATCGACTCTCGGATTGCCACCATTGGACTGTTGTTGTGAAAGCACGCCATCCCTCTCCTGTTCTTCCTCGCCATTCACGACCACACTATCGCACGCATTTCCACTCAGCCCCCGCCTAAGGAAATCTGCAATAGCAGGGTGGCCCACCTCCTTTTTCATCCTGGGTCTTCCCAGCGTGAGGACAGCTTCGTCGTCTCCAGGGGGGGCGGGCGCCACAGTTCGACTTCCCTTCGTAGCCTTCCCACCCCCTCTCGCCGGTGACACTCGATTCCTGGACGTCAAGGTCAAATCCACCCCCGCCGCCTCAGCTGCATCCTCTGTCATCTCTGCCGCTGCTGCTGCTTTGCGCGACGACGACGACGACGACGCCCCCTTCTTCTTTCCTATTCCTACACCGCCCTTACCTCCACGCCCTCCTTCCGCCAAGTTCACGTCCTTCCGTCGCCCACTAGCTATGCATCCCTCTCGTGCAACCCCTTCTCCAGCGACAAGGTTTTGCGGCGGTTCTTGATCTCCATGAGCAAGGCTCAAATCGGCGGCCACATCTTCGGTCATGATCCTCGTCTTCCTTGCCTTGCCCCCGTGCCCTCCGCCTGGTCGCCCCAAGCTAAGGCCTTCACCTCCCAACTCTTCCTTCCGCAGAAGGGCACTCCCTGACTTGTCAAGCTTTCGACTTTTCGTCGCGAGGCTCAAATGCACGCCTCCACCGGCATCGACGACCGGCGACGATATCACCACCTTACCGCTGGACTGCGATGTTTCGTTCTTGTCGCTACCCCCCTTCCCACCCGCTCCACCCCCTCTTCCTGCCTCCCCTCGCCCCAAGCCCAGACCCCCCCCCTGCTGTCTACCCGCCTCTCCCTTCCGCCCCACGCTCTCTGGACGCACCATCTCTGCTGTGTTCCTCCTGTATCGGGAAGCAGGCGACGTTGACCTAGTGCCACTCTCAAACACCCTTCCCGTCCCCTGTGCTGCCCCACCCCCGCCCACTTGCCGAGGACTCCCATCTTCCTCTCCGCTCTTCCTCACCCCTTCGGCGATCAGACCATCTGCGACATTCGCCTCCAGTCCCAACTCCACTGGCCCCTTCTTCCCTGCTTCCTCATCTTCCACCCTGTCAGGCGAAGGCAACTTCAAGTTCAGAATCACGGTCGATGGCGAGACGGGCCTCGCGCCTTCTTCACGAGGTCGCACATCTAATCGAAGATCTAGAGCCGGAGGTGTTGAGCCTTCCGCAGTCAAACTCGCGGAATCAGGTGCCGCTCCCGGTTTCATCTTCGCCTTGGTAAACACGCCTCCTACCTTCTGGTCTCTTCCCAAGGAAAAAGGCGCGCTGGCTTGAGGAGTCACGAGTTCTGCCTGGGAGGTGGTGACCTTAGGCTGCTGGGAATTGGGCTTAGGCTGTCGGCTGAGAGTCAATTCCAGCGGTTGATCTGTGCTGCATGCATCTAGCAGAGAGACAGCTGCCGGAGTAGGGCGACGTGGTGGCTTCAAGGTGAGTTCCAAACGCGACGGGGGCAATAGACTCCCCCCCGCGCTCCTCTCACGGGTTCCCCGCCTCTTACCGCCACCGCTTCCTCCTCCCCCGGATTCCACGACCGGTCGCGAAAGCGGTGCGCCTGATGATGACGCTGCCTGTGCCGCCGCTGAGCCTGGTGATGATCCTCTACTCCGCTGCTGCATCTGACCGCCATCACATCCAGATACGACCCCTGCAAAACCACTACCACGAACAGCACCACCACCACCGCTGCTGCTTTTCGAAGTCGAGGAAATCTTTTGCTCGCGCTGCTTGTCATCTGCGTCGACGTCCACCGGAGCTGTTGCTGTACCCCTCTGGCCCTCTTTGTGTGCCACTGCCATCGCTTCCCGGTCATGCCTTACCCCTCCATGATCATTGACCCTGTCCTTCACCAGAGGCCAGACACCCGTCCAGCTTCTTCCCTGCTTGCCAAGTTGTGGCGCACAATTCCTACCACCCTCCTTTCCCGACGGGCTGGCCCTGCCGGCTTCCTGGAACGATGATCCCTTCGCGTCACCGGCGACCGAGTTGACTTTGCCTGACTTGTCCTTTGCTGCACGCTCGTCGCCACCAACCACTTCGACATTCCTGGAGCCCTCGTTTTCCCCGCTCTCCTGGTCGTCTTTGTCCGTCCTTGAGTCCTTCGCCGCCTCCTTTTTCTCGCCCACCTGGTCAGCACCACTTGCTTTAGGTCGTGGACCGATCACAAGCATCTTTTTCCCATCCCCCACACCGGAATTGAATTGACCTCCGCCGTCCGCCCCCTTCTTTCCCTGATGATAATCTCCACCTCCCCTACCTCCTCCTCTCCCTCCTCTGCCTCCTCTCCCTCCTCTACCTCCTGCATCCATGCCGCCTCCAAACTTTCTGCCGCTGCCGATATCCAAGGAGGAACGTTCGCGATCAAAGCCGCCGCCCACCGAGGTCGCTTTACCAAACACTGGCTCCCGACCGAACCCTTCCTGCTCACCTTTCCTCCCAGCCAACACAAGTCTATCTCGCTGCTGGCGTTGCCACCCTCCCTGCCCTGCCGATGCAGTCCAATTCCTATTGACGTCAGCTCCGTTCCAACCGTACCGATCCGCCTTCGCAAAGCGGTGGCGGTTGTGGACATCCCCTCCGTCCCCCCATCTTTCCGCGGTCCCCGTCGCGTCGCATCCTGTTCTACGACCACCTTCCTCCTCCTCCATCGCAATCTCCCTCCTCGTCGTGTTCCACGATTTGTTGCCATCGTTAGCCGCTGAGGCAAAAGCGGCGTCCGCCTTTGACCTTCCACTCACGGTATCCGGCGAAGTAAAAGTCAGCCCGCCATCCTTGGCCGGAGGTCGAGGGGAGGAGGGACACTCGGTTCTTTTCACATGGTCCAGCTCTCTCTCTCTCTCCCTCTCCATCCATGTTTTTCTCCCCGGCGATATCGAGCCCAGAATTTCCAAGCTCCTGCTTCGGCTGCGGCTCCTGTTCATTTTCCTGTTGAAGGCATTCGACGGCATTTCTCCTCCCCCCTCCCCTCCCGCCGCGCCTTGGTGCCTTGCCCGATCGCTCCAGTGCCACTCACCGCCGCTGCCCGCACTCCCGCTCCATCGCCGTCTGCTCTCCCTCGTTCCTCCCCCACCCCCACCACTCTCGCCGTCGCTGTGCCCTCCGTACCTCCTTTCCCTGCTCCTACTTCGGCTTCTTCGGCGGGAAACGTCTTTTCTTTCCCCTTCCACTCTTCCACCTCCTCCATCACTCGTCATCAGCATAGTGTTTCGCATATGAAGCGGGCTACTCCCGCTTCTTCCCCATTCCGCTGCCTCCGCCACCCGCCCCACCTCCCTCCATATACCAGCCGATGACTGCATCTCTACTGCCCAGGGATCTCCTCGTCGATCCACTGCTCTCCCTTCTCGTTCCCCCACCATTCCTCTCCTCGCGATGAACTCGCTCCTCGGGCTTTGGCTCGGTTCCAGCCCCAGCCAACTTCTCTCCGCGGTCCTCCCTCTATCTATGTCTCTCATCTCACCATGAGCTGTTAAGGTCATCGTCATCCGCACACCCCCACTGCCATCTTCGTAGCCGGTTGTGTCCCTGTCTGGCGCCAACCCCACTCCTGCAGTTCCCCTGTAACCATTTCCGTGTTGCCGCCCAGCCTCGGCGATGCTACCATTGCAGAGCTCAGCGAAGGAGTCCACCGGCTCCCTACCAGGTCGAGGAGGAAACCCTCCTCGACCGGCGCCCCCACCAGGAGAAACACCCTCCCCTCCGACTGCACACCCACCATTTCGCTGAGACCCATACCAACTTGGCCCGCCGTCCTCGTTCTTGCCACCATGCCCACCACCAATGTCGCGGCTCTCGGCCAGATACCGGCCATCCAAGTCTGCGGTCAGCCGCCCGACCTCGACAGCGTTGCCGCCGCCGCTCCTCATCCTGCCTTGCTCCCCAGGGAACACGTCCTCCTTCCCGCCTCCACCCACTCCTGACGTGCCCATTCCCGCCAAACCATACCGAAACCTGACCGCCGCCTCATCATCATGTCGGACATTGCTTCCTGTTCCTCCTCCTCCTCCTCCTCCGTTACCAACGCTCCCCACCTCACCCGCCGACCTAGCCAATCCGCGATGATACCCAGAAGCCCTCACCGTCTCATCCAGCCCATGATGACGAGGATCATGGCGCCGATCCGTGCCGCCACTTTTAAAACCCACCACCTTCTCCCCACCGCTGCCATAATACTCGTTCGCGTTGCTCACATGGTGATGGTACTGCTCTGGTCGATTCGAAGATGGATACGCGACCTTGCCCGCATCGTAACCCCCCACGACCCCCTCCACACCCCGTTGTCCATATCCATCCCTCACCTCGTTCCCGCCTTGGTCCCACTTACCGTCACCCAAACCAGCAATGGAATTCCCACGGGATCGCTGAGATTCGTCGAACATGCTGCCACTATACGCGGATGAATGTCCATCCGGTCCCCTTCTAGCTCCAACGCGCCCATACCCATCCTCACCCCTTTTATCAGCAGCAGTGCCTGCAGCAGTCTCGCCTTTGTCATCCAATTCCGACATCCCCTTGGCGACTCTCGATGATGATGGAACATATCCGTTTTCCACATAAACATTGAACCGCGGCGGCGGCAGAAGTTCGCCGGTCATTTTCCCTTGATCAGATTCCACCTCCTTCATATAGCCCCCTGTCCCAGGGGAACTGTACCGATGATGGAGATGTTCCTCTGGCGCGCAACGGCGAAGTTCATTCTCCCCCCCCTCCCTGTACGAGACTTCCCCCCCCTTCCCCTCTTTGTCATAAACACTCCCCCCTCTATGTTTGCCATACCCAAAACCTCCATCGCTCAGGTTGCTGAACCCAACCCCACCATAAGAATACGGACGATTTCCTCCTCTACGCTCAGACTCATCATCTGGGACATTACGACCAGCATTCCCGATGTTGTTCCTTAGGTCCGAATTCTTCACGTCTACCTGCGATTCACCAAATCCCCCAATATGATTTGTCGTCGTCCTCTCGGCCGCCGTTCTTCCACAGTATCGAAGGATACTACTCCCGCAGTCCATGCCGGTCAGCGACGTCGTGCCCGTTCGACTTTGCAGCAAGCTGGCATCCCCTCCGCTGCCACAGTATCTCTCGTGTGCGTTTCCTGAAGTCACTGCCGACGCTGCTGCCGCAGCTGCCAGGTCACGATCGGTGGACAAATTTGTCATCGAGCCCGCCAACCCTCCTCCTCTGCCTCCCGCTGAGGGAGCGATGGCAGATCCGACTTCGCCGCAGTAACCTCTCTCGCTAGCCCCCAGTTTAACCGCATCACCGGGCTCCATGATCGGGTTGGTCAGTCTCATGTCGCGAGGTCTGTCATCGCAGAAAGACGCATTTTGACAGCCTGCTCCTCCGTACATTTCTCCTCGCCAGCCTCGTCCGTCGGATAGATTGGAGATGGTGCTGCCAAGGTCGAGTCCACCACCACCGCCTTCGGGACGAGACGAAAACCAATGCGCCTCCCGATTACGTAACAACCCGTCCTTATCGATCGCCGCCTCACGCCTTTCCTCCACCTGGTTCTCGTACTTAAACCCATCTCCGCCAACCAGACTCCGTTCCCCTGCTCTTAGGCCGCACCGAGCCCCATCCCTCTCGCTGATGTTCGCCGCCGAGACTGCATCGTGAAGCTTGGTCGAGATATCCCCGATCGCAATAGCAGAAGACAGCCGCTCCTCCGAAGATTCCACCGCCGAGGGAGGAGGAGGAGGAGGAAGAGGAGAATGGGTTCCGCGAGATACCCTCGAGAACGACGATCTTGCTCCGGGCCTCAGATTTAGTGAGTCCTGGAAAGGCTGCTCATGGGCAATGCCGCTTGTACCAATTAGATCAAAAGTTGAGGAATCGGCGGCGGCTGGTCTAGAGGTCCCCCCTCCAACTGCCCAACAATCGCCCAGAAGTCGCTGATGGGCCGACGAAAGCTGTGGCGAACTCGGCATCAGGGTCTCTGATGATGCCATCAACCTTCCACCACTGCTAGGCAGAAGCCATGTCGTCGTGCTCCCTTCTTCACGTGGACGAGAACTCAAGGAGTCGCTCATTAACGAGGATGAAGATGCCATCGAAGACGACAAACACCCTCCTCCACCTGCACTCCACCCGGGCACTGATGATTTCATTTGAGAGGTTCTGTCATGACCCCCACCTCCTCCTCCAGCAAGACTCCGAAACGTCGGCCCACAATCAAACGGCGCCCCCGTCATATCCTTAGCTTCGTTCATAGGACCGCGGGCTGACGAAGATTCGAGAGAATGGGATGGAGGCGGGGGAGGACGACGAGGAGGAGGAGGAGGAGGAGGAGGAGGAGGGGGCGGAGGAGGAGGAGGAGGAGGAGGCCCAGAAGACGGCAAACCCTTTCCAGTGTAAAATAATCCGCCTGCTGCTGTCATCCCTCCTCCTCCTCCACCCACCCCTCTCCCTCCTGCTCTATAGGCCGCCGTCCCACCATCGAAACCACCACTCGCCGTCGTTAAGCCCGACTCCCTCCTCTCACTCATCGCGGCGGCGGACAGTCGCGGTTCTGGGGGCGGTGGTACCGGCGTATGTAACCTTGGCGAAGCAATGGGAGGTGTAGATAACACAGGTGGTGGCGGACCATTGCGTGGCGATACACCAGCAGGAGGAGGAGGAGGAGGAGGGGGAGGAGGGGGGGGGGGAGGAGGAGGAGGACGAGGAGGCCCTGCGGATGGAGCAGGCAGTCGAGGTGGCAGCTCAGGGGGCGGAGGCACTACCGATCGCGTCAAAGAGTACCTGGGATAAGCAAGTGCGCGTTCTCCCTGCTGCTCCCTGGTTCCAAAACATCCATCCGTGGACGTCGGGTCCAGCGTACTCCTCATCTCCGTTACTGCCACACCAGATGAGGGTGATGGTCCGGGTGATGGGCGTAACCCATTGCCAGATGACGCTAATATTCCGACCCCACTTCCAAGAGTTCTCGCGCTACCATAATTGGCTGTGATTGCCATATTACCCCCCCCATTCAGCGCAGTATGCGACGAGAGCAGTCCAGATTGCGCACCACTGGCCAGGGAAGGCCGCACCGTATGCCCATGGCCGCGGTCAAATGTCATTTCTCGCCGTCCGTCATTTCCTTCTCCACCCTCTGGCGTTCCTCTGCCCACGACCCCGCTACCTCCCTCCTCGCCGCCTAATCTTCGGAAGTCTGTAGCAAAGACTGGTCCATTATGGGATAGGTGCGCGGGCAGCGAATGCGGCTCAGGGGGGGGCACGAAATTCCCCAGAAAGGATTCTGCTCTTCCTCCTCCTCCTCCTCCTTCTCTTCCAGAAACAGTAAGAGGTGGAGGAGGAGGAAAGGGTCGAAGAGGAGGAGGAGGAGGTGGAGGCGCATGAGAGAAACCAGAAGCACCAAGCCCACCAGCGATCCTCTCCATCGTTCCAGTCTCAGCACCACGGTGTACGATTGCATCCGCAGAACTCCGAAGCGCATTTGCCTGATGATAAGAAGACGGCCCTCCTCCCGCCTCTCTTGAACCTGCAATAGATTGCACACCGCCAAATGCTGCCCCACCAGTAGCTGCCCAGCTGCCCGCGCTACTGGAAGCCGTAAGTCCAACAGAGAGCGAGAGATGATACCCATTGCCCCACATGTCTCTTCGTTCTCCTGCCCGCATTTCCATCCCTGCCACCTTCTCCCTGCCACTGACCCCAACCTCCTTGGTCACTGATCAGCCTCTCCTCCCTCAGTTCCCACGGAGGACCAACACCTGCGCGTCTCTCGTGTACCGGTCGTTCCCAGCCCTCCTGTTGCCATCCATCCACATTCTTTTTCGCTCCCTTCCGCTGCTTGATGGCAATATATCCACGCACCCTTCCTGTCATTCTGTTAAGAACATCCAAGACATTCCATCCATTCTCCGTACAAACCCAGAAATAATACAAAAGCGTCTCTGCAAGAGACGCAGGGAGGGAGAAAGGCAAGCATGCAGAAGAGAGACGCACCGCCTAGAAATCGATCAGTGACAATGTTGTGAGCAGATTGAACTTGACCTTGACACCCTGCACCCGCCTTTTCCCCCCTTCCTCGCGTCGTCAACAGGATTATGCAATTAGCAACTAAGACCGGACGAGTGCATGGAACAAAGGGAAAGACGATGCAGTGCCAGACAGCCTAAGCTTGCTCTCTGCCGACGCTCCCGAGCCCGCCATGAGCAGATGGCTCATGAACAGTCCGCCTTGACCGTCACCAGCCGCGGATCTCGTCCATCCGCGGCAACAGCACAACAATCACCCGACACGAAGTACCACGACCTCTCCGCGTCCAGCCCCCCGCAAGACTGCGCGCACCACGCGCACCATGACACAACGATCACTCAACTCACGACCGGAGCTCCACGACTGTCCATCCCAATCGGTTGGAGCAGACGTTTGCCTCCCTGTTCGCCGTGCCCGCTGCTCGCCAACCCCTTCCACCGGCACTGGGCCGTCGATCGGTTTGGAAAAGCGATGGCTACGGGGTGCCGTAATGGCGGGCCCGTCACCAGCACGAACTTGGCTCGTACGAACCGCCCGATCGACAGGGGACGGCAGATCTAACGGCTGATGCAGCCATGATCTGTTAGTTAGGTTTCACTGGAGTGCTTCTTGTGTGGGCCCGCCCAAAGTTCGACTGACTACAACATCAGAACCGAAGCATGGTCGCTCGTTGGATGCCATGAGCGACAGCCAGATGCCGGTGGACATCAACCATAAACCCAAGCCTCGCTTCTGGCGGCAGGTTTGGACCTCGCGACCCATTTACCATTCAGCCAAAGGGGTGGGTTGCGCCCAGTTTCCCCAGCACCAAGCCAAATAAGAAAAACAACCCGTGTTTGGTGGTAAGAGAACCGCCCGAATTGAGGCTTTGCCTGTCGGGCTGCTCCATCTATGGAGCCATACCTGATGTAGGTTGCTCGACTATTGACTTACCGTGCGCAACCCGTAGTTTGTATATGCTTGATTGATAAAGGAGGCGTTATTGGTGAGGTTTAGAAGTGGGGTGATTGCTGCATGAAAAAAAAGGATTATTTGTGTGTATGTGTCAAGATTAGTGTGTATGTGTTTGTGTGATACTTAGGGTGTTTGTGTTTATCACATCTATTAGTGTGGAATGTGTGGGATTTAGGTAATTTGTATGGTATTAATGTATTAGATATTTGACATTGTCTACCGCGTGGGCGCGAGGGACGCAGCCCTAAGGTTGCCAAAGCAATGAGACTAAGAGCTCACACAAGAGAGAGAGAGAGAGAGAGGAAGAGAGAGAGAGAGGGCTACCAGAGCGAGAGGAAAAAAAAAAAAGGAGGGAAGAGAGAGAGAGGGAGAGGTTGAATGGCAAAACTGAAATATGGGTCAAATTGCAGTCGTGATCTATTCTTGGAAAAATCACTACAAAATTTATGAGTATTCCAATTTTTAAGTTTTTTCACGCATTCTTCTGAGCGCAAAAACTCACTGAAATTGGAGTATTTTTTTAGTTGGCCCACACATGGCTGAGTGGCAAAAATGGAAAATGTGTCGAATAGGCATAACGATTGTTTCACAGTTTAAATGATTTTTTAAAAATGTTCTAATATTATTCATGGAAAGAACACGACCTCATCTTTGGATTTTTTAAATTTCAATTTTTTCTGCGGATTCGTCCGAGCACAAAAAATCGTCTAAATTGCTACTTGCAAAACATTTGTTTCGTTGCACCTGACCTCCCTGTTTTGAGAAGATGGGCCTCAACGCCTAGTCCTAAGGACCCTTTTGGAGTTCACATACCCTCACTTTTTTTTTTTGTCCGCTTCTACCTGAGGACCGGTCCAATGCCCCCCACTTGTTTCGAGGGTTCACTTCCACCCAAGGACTGGTCCTTCCTTTTTCCAAAAACCTCAGTTCTACCAGAGTTAGCTGTAGGTAGTTCGCAATTTTACCACGGACCGGTCCCCCAATTTTTTTTGCCCCTTAAGAACCCACTTTGCATCTTCGTCGCCCGTCGCCAAAAATGCGGCACCTTGACACAGAAACCCACTATTCTGCAGCCTTAGGGTTGCGAATACCGACTGGGAGGATTCAACTAACTAAAAAGCAAACAAACTTTTTTCACATTCTAGCGGAAGAGTCATTCTCATTGTACACCGCGTGGGCACGGGGAACACAGCCCTAAGGTAGCCAAAGCAATGAGACTAAGAGCGCGCACAACAAAGAGAGAGAGAGAGAGAGAGAGAGAGAGAGAGAGAGAGTTTTGTTCCGTTTATTGTTATGAGTGCGAGAGAGAGTCGGAGAGCGAGAAAGAGAAAGAAAGAGAGATAGAGAGAGAAGGAAGGGGGGGGCAGAGAGAGAGATAATTTTTTTTTTTTTCCATTTGTTGATATGAGTGAGAGAGAGACAGAGCGTGAGAGAGAGAAAGAAAGAGAGAGAAAGAGAGAGGGAGAGCAAGGGCTTACTACCAGAGAGAGAGAGAAAAAAA